CGCTGGCTGCCGTCGCCCACGGCCGCTGGCGCGGGTCTCCTGCGTCTCCTCGCCGGTGGCTGCGCCTGAGTGTCCGCGTGTCCCGGCGTGCCAGTCAGCACAGACACAGCAGGGTGTAGGGGCAGGCCTGGAGAGGGCACTGGCCGGAGTGCTAAGCTAGTTTCCAAGGAGAACCCAGCTCCTTATTACAAGGCCAGCGGCCGGCTCCCGGCCTCCTGACGCCCGCCACCGAGGCCAGGCCCAGGGCCCAGCGGGGTGGGGGCGAGCATGCTGACCGTGGCGAGACAACAGGCCTCGGACAGGCAGGGGTGCACGCGTGTATGTGAGTGTGTGTGTACTGCCCACATGCCACACCGTGTTCTTCCTAACCTGCCCCGTGGACACAGGGTCAAGACAGCTGCGGGCGGCGGGAGGCCGAGGGCCAGGGGCGTGAGTGCCCCCAGGGACGTCACCTCCGCTGCCGTCTGCCAGCGAGCCCAGTGTTTCTGCGAGCCCACAGGTGGAAAGGTCTAGCCCTGACCCAGGAGGGCATCGGTAGGAGGGAAACTGAGTCACGGAGCAAGGAAGGGACCGGTGGCAGCTCCGAGGGCGAGGACACACGCCGTCCAGCTGAGCAGCTGCCTCACCGGCCGAGACACTGCCTGGCACTGTGCCTGGCACCCGGGGCCCCGTGGGGTCCAAGGTGGGCAAGATGCCTGCGCAGGGCCACCGCTGCTGGGAGAGGCCCTGGGACGGCAGGCGGCGGGCAGGTGGGCGCAGGGCCGAGGGAAGGGAGCGGAGAGCCCAGCAGGTCCTGAGGCCGGAGGGACTCTTAGGAGCGACGGCGAGGACAGGCGCTCGCTGGAGGGGTCGGCCTGTGCCGGGCCCGGGAGGACGCGCGTCCAGGGGCATCGGCCAGCCTGGCACGCAGGGCGTGCTGCGGGCACAAGGCTGCCCGGTGAGCGGGGACCCAAGTGTCCCCCGGAGTCAGCGCCTCACCTCTTGGGCAGCGCCAGCAGGCGAGAGCTCGAGCGAAGGGAGACGTCTCGGGCCTGGGCAGGGTGGGGCGCGGGCCAGCTCTGCGTGGACCGTGAGCGAGTGACGGTGGGGAGGGCCCGCAC